TGAGACAATGCAATGATTGCTATACTTCTGTTCATCTGAACTAAAAAGTATTTGATGTTGCCTAGTGTATACCAACATTTAGATCTAGACTGACACCACTAGAATATTAGTAAAAAAATAATGAAAATACAAAACCAGCAAAGAACAATTATAAATTTAAAAAACCCACTTTGATTCCCAGATACAAAGTTCAGAATAAATCACTTGAGTGTTTCTCTACAAAGTCTTTACAACAAAAGGTATCCAGATCAGGGCAAACTAAAATTAAGCTTTAGTAGGTTATCTAATATTTTCTAGTTTCTTTACTCCTGAGAATTAGAAACAGACTAGTCATCAGATCCAAGATTGCAGAAACTTACCGCACCAGGTCGAGGATTAGGAATCTCCCCATTGTATCGTACCCACTTTGTATGAGACTGTTCTACTGTAGCACTCTGCATATATTTTCCTTTTGAGAAAACCTCTTCTACAGTAGACAGATTGTATGCACACACTGCTGACAGCCCCACATTATTCCTAAAAGTTCAGGAAGAAAGAATAAAAAAAAAAAATCATAGCAGTAATTATTACTTGTTGTAGTAAACAACTGAGATTAAAAGTACTTATCCAGGAAAAGACTATACCACACTTACAGTTGCGGGGTGAAGACCCCATATATCACTGGTTCCTTCAAAGTTGGAGACTTGAGAATAAAAACATCATTGATGATATTGAAAATTAAATTCTTATCAGGGATGGTACAAATCAATCTGGCCTTGAGAAAGGAAGTCCACTTTTTCTGCAAAGTCCTTAATCCTCCTTGGTCCCTCTTTTGATATTAAAAAAATAAAAAGGTATTTGTGAGAAGAATTAGCAGCATTTTTGCATTTAAGAACCACTGCTATACAGCATGAAATTACTGAGCACTGTTATTTTCTAACATTTCATATATGGCAACATTAATAAATGTTAACATGTTCACAAACAGAAAGGTAAGGAAGCCACAGGAAAATTAGTTGATTCAACAAAAATAATGCAGAATGGTTTCTACCAACACACAGAGGTAAGATGAGATATGAGACTTATAAAAGAACTGTACTTCAGCAACACTTGAAAAATTGAGATGAGCAATGTACCCTTAGAAAACAGCCTGCTTATTAGAACAAGTAAAATGACCATGGAATTATTACACTGTCCCTTAAGAGAGATAAGTAATATTGCATTTGTTCTGTGACATCTAAACTGTGATTTACATTCTAATGTTGCAATATGCATTTAAACTTGCCTGGCATTAATAATTTCATTAGACGAAATGCAGCAGTGGCTTAATCCTGCAAGCAGTTACCACCTTTATTAAGGATTTGCAGAATCAAGGCTTAAAGAAGGAAAGATATATTGACTAGAAATGTTTCAAAATATTTGAATCTCAAGCTGTAGCTGTTACTTCTCTTCAAAAAACAGGCATACTTGACCATTATTAATATTTCCCATTCATTATGCAATGCTGTTATGCAAAGTATTAAAGGAAATCTGCAAAATTCATGAAAACGGTTAAGTATAAATGCTTATAGATTTGCAACCTGCCATTGATTCCTATTTCAAACAAACAGCAGCAGCAAAGCTCTCATACTCCACAATACTCCCCTTTTAAAGCGTGCACAAGCTGTCAGTGGGCAGAAGGCCATAATAAGCCCCATGTAAATCTGCCTCCAGCTGCTTGTTTAATGGAAATCTCAAGGGCACTAACTCGTTATTGATGTTTTGACTTCCGTGTTTAAATATAAAACAGTAAAGTCATTTCAACCTCATCAAAATGAAACTGCTAGATAAACTTCCTGTTGGAAAAAAAAATCCTGAGGAAATTGATACATTCCACTGCAAAGGTTTTTGTTAAATCAACATTTTCTCCTGGAAAAACACTCTTTCATCAGCAAGATCTTTAACCAACACTCCTGAGTACGTACTTGAGTCAGCCTAACACACTGAGGTTTACACACAGCAAGTGTGACAGAATCAGGCTCCTGGTGACTGTTTTCCTTGAGGCTGTGGCTGCTGTAACAGCTTCATGGAAGTCCCATCTGCTATACCACAGTCAAGAGCTATTCTGTTGTGTACGCAGCCACACCTTTGTTTGTACACAGCTATTTAAAAGTAACTTGACAAACATCCTATCTGCTCAGCTCCAACCAAAGTCAGTTCTTCCCAGGGAGCTGTACTTAAACTTAAGAGTTGTTTAAAAAAAATAAAAAGGAAAGCCAGGGGAGACACTTTTTCTGTTGCTGGGTTTTGTGGTGATGTTTTTTCACCCCCCAGGGGTGGGTAGAACCCCCAGATGTACTGAAATTTCACCACCGTGCGAAATTAAATTAAGTGTTTGTTCCTAAAGCAACAATTACGGTTTCTCAGTTCTGAAGAACTGATTGAAATTGCTGATTCACTAAGATTCACTAAGTTTGACCACTTCCATTTAATTGGCACTAAGTTGACAATAAGAAGTGCTTTCACACACACACATAAAATTCTAGTTGAATTAGTAAAAGTAAATTGAACTATGTCCCACCTTGCACACTCTAGCTATTCTTGGAATCATCAGTTTTCCAACAAATTCATACTCCACAGACACCTCGGTGAAAAAGAAGTATATCTTGTCATCTTCTCCATCTGTGCTGTTTTGATCTGCTCTTATCACATCAGCAAAAACAAAATTGGGCTCTACAGACACAAGAGAATAATTTTATATTATATATGAGACTACTAACTTGATTCCCTCAAAGACCCTCTAGGACTCCTCTTTCATCCAAACCTCACACTGCATTTACCTGCTCTCCAGTTACTGACCTGCCTACACATATGAATAGCATTTCTAAAAAAAAACAGAGAAAAAACAAAAACCACAAACCCTATGTGAGGGCACTAATATACATGAGAGTGCTCTGAGGTCTGATATTTTGTTACTTCAGTGTTCTTCAGTCCACACTCACGCTTGGTTTTCTAATAGGCCTGGAGAGGTATCCTCCCTTGCCTGCCTCTCCTCTATTTCAGCTATTAGCAAACACTAAAAATGACAGTTTCATTACAACATGTATTACAAAACTCAGTATCCTGTACTTTTTGGACATAATCCATCTTTTGGAATATGCTAACGTCATGGTTTTGGTCCTTCTTGGCAGAAAGCCACAAACCTCTGAGCATTCACAAAACTTGGTGAATTTTGAAATTCAGGAACTGAAATCACCAGAAACCATGATCAGCTCAATTTGAAAACCCACTAGAGACCAAAACCATTCTCTTCCTTACTATATCATAACTATGCTGCATTATTGCAAGGATGAATAAGTAGATATAAATAAACTGTAGCCCTTTAACATGAAGTTGAAGCCTGTATGTCTTGAACCTGTTTTCATTGTCAATGCTGATAAAAATGCTGAAATTTCAAAATAAAATCTCTTGACGGCACACATGAGGGCACACACTCACATGTCAGTATATGCCAGTATAACAAAATCCATTCTCTTTAAGATATTAGACAATTGCCCCTTACCCCAGGTAAGACACCTAAACTCTTTGCCTGGAAGTGTGACATTGAAGGAGGAAAACCAGTTTGGTTGGGCCAGTTCTCACGCCCACTTACCATTAAGCCAAGGTATTGCATACTCTGTTCTCAGAGGGCTCTGATGAGAGTGCCGTGAAATGATAGGTTCACTTCCCAAGAAATTGTAGGAAGTCCCAGAATAAAGCTCCTCATCTTTAACACAAAAACAAATATTTTAGAATTTCTTATGCACTGGATACCAAAAAGGGTACGTAAATATTTCAGGAGAGTTTGTAAGCTTAAAACTTCCCACAAGAAAAGATAAACAAGGATTTCCTCTAAATTGCCCCAGACATGTCTTCTATGTTTACATTTCTGCTGACCATTCTCAAGGCTAGCACTTCCATACTTGGGTTTATTATTGCTCTAATGGAAGCAACTGGCAAAAGTCAGCATTGTTTTTGTGGTACTTTAACATTTAACATGCAAACCTACAGTTTATGTACAAGTACATAAATTTACTTAAGAAACACCACAGAAGTTTTGGAAGTAATTATTTTACTCTCTTTCTATGCCACCATTATTCAAACTCAATTTTTAAAAATTTAGGCAACAATGCAGGGAGTGTGTTCTTTTCTTTCTTGTTTCCTGTTTTGTGTTACTTTGAGCATCTCTTTTATGATCTTGTGACACAAGAGTACAGCCACAAACTCCTGTTTCACCAAATCAAGATTCAGTGGTGTCTAACCATGCAGTAATATACTCACAATAAATATCTCACTTCCCTACTCTGCTTCATGGATATGTCTTCAGGACAGCTAAAACCTCTACTTGTTAAATTTACTGAAATGACAGTAACTGATACAACAAAGGCAGTCAAAGTACATCTAGACTACCAGGACTAAATGTTAAACACCTGAAAATACAGTTTAAAAATTAGTATTTCAGAAGTTGCTTCCAAAACAACCTGGAGTTTTAAGTTCTCCTTTTAGGAAACATGCTAAGGTTGACTACGTATTTTAGTGTCTATCTAGATACACAGTAAAGATGTAAAAATATGGACACAATCTACCATTTTGATACTGAGAGACTGGAAAATGACAGCGAAAAAGATCGAACATTTTTATACATAGTAACGAGGTACGCTAAGTCTGAACTTACCAACCATAACAGATGTGTAGCTTTGAGCAGGATCAAACGGACATCTGCCCTTACCATCTTCATTTTTACCTCCAAGCTCAAATGAAATTAAATTCTGCAAAAAATTAAGTTGAAAACCACAAAACAACTGTTAGTACTTTTTCTTTCAGCCACTTGACTCATGCAAAGATAACTGAAAAATTAACACTAAGTAATGGACTATATCATCAACTTCCAGCATCAAAGGCACTTTTTTAAGATTATAAACAGCATGTGCATTTTCAGAAAATCTTACTGAGTCCAGCAGACAGAGAGGAAATGTGATCCTATGATTTGTGAGGGCGGGAGCAGAAAAGAACAGAAGACAAAAACTTAAATCCAGACAGACCTCAAGAAAGAACACCCAAAAAAGCCAGACAGCAGGAAAGGCAAAGAGCTGCAATGGAAAGAGCTGGCAATTATTGAGCTAGCCTGCACAAAAATGGACAGTTTTAGAAATCAAGAAGGCTTTCTGAAGTGGATTTAGCAATTTTCAAGATTATGTTAAATTTGTGAGATGGGGCATAATCCAACTAAATTTTTAAAAGCAACAGAATACTTTGGCTGCTGCTTTACAAATCCCTTAAAAACTGACGGAATGAGGATCAGGAAGATGACAGAGAACTGTAGCCACAGTACTGAGGAAGTGATCAATTATACTGCGTAATGAAGACACTGGAGGCTAAGGGCAATGACTTCTGGCAATGTTCCAGAGATGATGGCAGGCAGAGTTGCAGGCAAGGAGACAAAAAGGAACAATTACAAGATTTCTCAATTTCAGAATTGTTAAGAGCTGCAGTAAAGAGAACGATACAAAAGTCAGCAGCGAGAGAAGGGAGTTTTGATTTTGCACCAAGACTTCACTCTGAAGCATTCAGCACTGAAGCTGTGGCATAGCCAGGAGCAGAGACAAGACAAGCAGAGACAGGAATCTGAGAAATTTCACGAGATTTGGTAACGGATGGAAGTCACAAAGAATGTAATTTCAGTTTTAGAAATTGTTTTTATGCTAACAGACAATACACAAAGAATTGCAAAAGTTAAGAAAAAATAAATCTGCAGTTCAACAACATGAATCAATAATTCAGTAAACACTGTGAAAAAGGAACAGTATGGTTTATTTCCATAATCTATCATGACTGTAGGACAGTGTAATAAGTGCTCCAAACGTTACGACCGGCACGGAAATTGCAACAGTCCTTGGGAATGGAGATTAACTCATTGTTTAAACAAGCTGATTTTATGTTACAGTTGTTATTGGGTCAAAACTTATCTACATTCTTACCAGGTAATCGCACGTTGGCTGAAACGCATTAGTTCCACACACATAGAGAAAAGTATCGTTCAGCTGTTGCAAGACACGCACATAATTACGACACTCTGTCTGTAATAGAGGATAAGAAAAGGACCAGTCTGATAAACCACATCTTCCACATTCCAACATAAATAAACAATTAAAGTTGTGCTGTCAGCTTGTCTGTTGCCGCTACTTATGCCACACCAGTAAGGCTGGGTGATACAATCACCACTGGGACACCATCTCCCTACAATCTCCAGGAGCTGTTGTGCCACAGCATCTGCTTCCCTACAGCCAGTAGTGTGCACCTGCCTCAGTAAACCTATTAGGGTAGTGTAACCAAGTACCATACACTCAGCAGGGTGCATCTCAAGTTGTTCCATGAAAGCACAAGCTCCAAAGACACATCTGATCCATGGGAACAACTAGTTAAACATGGAGTAAGTTTTAGACTTTGCCATCCCTTATAAGCCTAGATGAAACAGCAAGTGATAGTCAAGGTTGTTTCTTAAGAGAGAAACCTCTAATATCATTAAATTAGCTACAAAGCTATGTCACTTATATCTGTCCATTGGCTTCAGTCCTTGATATCAATTGCTCTTTCACCCCAGGAAGCTTCTTAATTCCTTTGGCTCTGAAATAGAATGAGGAGTTTGAGCAAAGCCTTGAATAAAGGATACCATAAAGTTTCAGAATAATAACCAAGAAAAACAACTCTAAACACCCACTTAGAGAGAGGGAAAACACCAGTATCAACAACATCCCTTAATTCTTGCTGGTACACAGCCAGATACCACCACTGTACTGTACTTCCATAAACTAGTTAAGCAAGTAATAAGCACTGTCCTTACTCTTCCTTCTTATAAGCCAAACCAAGTATTTCTGTGACTGTATGGTCTGGTATGGCAGAAAACTGGGGCAGGGGGGGTGGGAGGGGTGGGTTGGGAGAACAAAATGGTTTTTCTGCCAGATGAGGTCCTTGAACAGCTGCGTAGATGCTTTCTGCTGGCACTAAACAGCATAGTGGTGATGGGTGGGGGAGACGACTGCCCATTTTAGCATAAGAAACTGCATGTATTGTGTTTGCATGGTAAGGTTTTGGTAGCAGTGGGGGCTATACGGGCGGCTTGTGTGAGAAGCTGCTAGAAGCTTCCCGTGTCCGACAGAGCCAATGCCAGCCCACTCCAAGACAGACCCGCCGCTGGCCAAGGCAGAGCCCACCAACAACAGTGGTAGCGCCTCTGTGATAACATATTTAAGAAGGGAGGAAAAAACCCAAACCCACACAAACTGCAGCTGGAGTGAGGAGTGAGAATATATGAGAGGAACGACTCTGCAGACACCAAGGTCAGTGAAGAAGGAGGGGGAGAAGGTGCTCCAGGCATCAGAGCAGAGATTCCCCCGCAGCCCCTGGTGAAGCCCATGGTGAGGCAGGCTGTGCCCCTGCAGCCCATGGAGGTCCATGGTGGAGCAGATATCCACCTGCAGCCCGGGGAGGACCCCATGCTGGATCAGGTGGATGTGCCTGAAAGAGGCTGTGACCCGGTGGGAAGCCTGCGCTGGAGCAGGCTCCTGGCAGGACCTGTGGACCCACGGAGAGAGAGGAGCCCACGCTGGAGCAGGTTTGCTGGCAGGACTTGGGACCCCACGGGGGGCCCACGCTGCAGCAGTCTGCTCCTGAAGGACTGCACCCCATGGAAGGGACCCACGCTGGAGCAGTTCATGAAGAACTGTAGCCCATGGGAAGGACCCACATTGGAGAAGTTCACAGAGGACTGTCTCCCATGGGAAGGACCCCACAATGGAGCAGGGGAAGAGTGTGAGGAGTCCTGCCCTGAGGTGGAAGGAGCGGCAGAGAACGTGTGATGAACTGACTGCAACCCCCATTCCCCGTCCCCCTGCGCTGCTCAGGGGGGGAGGAGGCAGAGAAAACTGGGAGTGAAGTTAAGCACAGGAAGAAGGGAGGGGTGGGGGGAAGGTGTTCTAAGATTTGGTTTTACTTCTCATTACCCTACACTGTTTTGATTGGTAATAAATTAAACTGATTTTCCCCAAGTTGAGTCTGTTTTGCCTGTGATGGTAATTGCTGAGCAATCTCTCCCTGTCCTCATCTCGACCCACAAGCTTGTTTGTTGTATTTTCTCTCCCCATCCAGTAGAGAAGCAGAGTGATAGAGCAGCTTTGATGGGCACTTAGCATCCAGCCAGGGTCAACCCACCACAAAGCAGTAGTGGCTTAATACCCTGACCCTTCTGAAACCCTCGCACTACGCAAAACATCACAGCTGCAACATAAATGTGACTAGTAGAAGGTTATGAGTACAATGAGGAAGAAGCATGGCTGGCAATAAGTGTGACTTGCTAAACTAGGGGCAGGGGGGAAAAAAAAAGGAAGAGAAGTTTGGAGCTCTGGCAAAGTACCTATTTATGGGGTCTAACATCACTTCTACCTAACACCAATGATCTCTGCAGAAGACTGGTGGAGATGCACACACCATCTGCTAAACTGTATGCACACGCACAAGAGAAATTCACACCTCTCATATTTATCATGGCTGTATGTGAGTATTATTACTACTAACCCCAGCTGAACCTGGAGAACACAAATAACACTCTCTGAGTGCATCCTAAAGAGGCAGACAAGGAGAAAAGATCCCTTAAATGCCTGCCACACCTCATGTTAGGATAATTTATTGATGGTTGTCAGTCCAAAGAAAAGCAGTAAACTGAGCCAAGCGAGAGAGCACACTCCCACCTCCAATAGCCCCATGAATGCAGTATGTCTATCAGCCCTGGATGCAGCACCTGGGGTTTTATAACACTGTGAACCAAAGAGGCTGCAGGTTCATGGGTGCCGATGTCAAATCCCTGCAAGCATAGACTAGGACTGCTTTTTGTATTCGCAGGCCTTGCAGACTTCCACTTTCAAACCTGTACTAACAGCCTGCCCGTCAGCCTTGCCCAGCAAACCCTCACTTTACCCTATCACTAAACAAAGCGGTGCTACGCAAGGGGAAAGGAACGTCCACATACATTCAACCACCTCAGGCAAACCATCTCCACAGAAAGGCAAAATGAGCAGGCCAGCCTGTGCGCTGGCAGTGGTGAGGAGTCCGTGGTTGCCAGAAACACCAAGGGATCTCAGGGGCTGAGCTGTCTGAGCACTCACACCAGCAAGGTGCTGCTGCAAAGGGCACACCCACTGAGCGCCACAATAGGGATAGATATCCAAGTTAGTGGAAAACACACTGGCGGAACAGCACTGGCCTAATAAATAAACCCTACGCCCTAAAGCACAGCAAACAAAATTATCAATCATTTTGTAAAGTCAAATGCTGGGGAGGAATTATTGCAATAACAAAACGCAACAGTTGCTATCAATTATCTCAATGAAAGTAATATGGGTTATAATTTCAATGGAAAAACTTCTAACATTAAGCACACATGAGGGTGCGTTCAGATTTTCAAACATTGAAACAATATTTACCACCAAGAAATAATGAACTAAGAATTAGAAAAAGACTAAGCAGCTGCAGTTTCTAAAGCTGAAGTTAATTGAAGATTTTAGGTGATTATTTGAAAATTTTCATTTCAAACAGTTAGAGCCTTTCTTCTTTTACCATCACTCCTCTAGAAGCGAAATGTAGAACATCTTTCTCAAAGTTCAATAAAAGTACATACCTGTTCTGATTTGCCCTTGACTGCACATTTAGCCCTTTTATCTTCGGTAACTTTCCAGTGTAACTAAGTGAAAAAACAAGCAACAAAAAGGCACATTCAAAGCACTTGAATTCAATGCAAGGTCTAAAAGGTCTTGCAACACCACACAAAAAAAGGCAATCCTGAGACTATCTGCAGCAAATGCAAACCATTTTGCAAGTAGGTTTAGGTTTCAAAGGTTCAAAGCCATTCTTTCCTGGAGAGATGTCACTTCGAAATTCATGTCCGTTAAGTGGGGCTAAACCACTGCTATTATCTTTTGGGTTCATCATGATGTTTCCCCTCAAACTGCTAATGAAGTTGCTATTACCATATGCATTAGGGAAATGTAACTGTAACTGTTTTAAGTACTTCTCAGTTTTAAGTACTTCCTTATTTCATTCACACTTGAATGAAAAAGCTGTCTGAGGGGCGGGGTGGGCAGGGGAAATCAAAGAAAACTTATTGGATCAATTTACACTATACGCAGAAGTACAACTTTGACAGTTACACGCACTAGTAAAACAAGTTTTATATGCTGGTGAAATTGCCCACCACCACGCATCAACGTTTTGTTCAGGTTAAAAATCATATGAGCATCTTCCAAAACATTGTGGGTAGGACTCCATGCTGCACCTCTAAGTGTCAGCCTGCACTGCTCATGGGATAAGCAGCAGCAGCCTGGGAAGGACTGGAAACAATACAATGTTAGCAGACTTCGGCATGGGCTAATCCACTCTGAGAAGCCAGTGTCAGCACATCCAGAGTACTTCTCTGAGCAAGCTGGATCAGACCTGTCTGCACCACCACTTGCTGTGCAGACGCACCTAAAGACACAAAACAGAAGCTGAAACCAAAAAGACAGGGCCCTCATTTCATTTGAAGCATGTCTGCAGCCTGTCACTCCTGAGCAAGCTCCCAACTTTGCTTGTTTCAGATTAATTACCTTCTGATTCAGATCAACAGGAGATGCCCCACTCCTGGTAATAAATATATGTATAAGAACCACCATTACAGATGATACCCCAAGTCCTTTCAGTCCAGCATCCTTAGGTTTTTTCTCCTTGGGGACAGAAGACCCCTAATTACTTGTTTATATCCAACTTCTCATTTCTTCCTCTCATCTAATGGCATGTTTTACTCTATAGCATCTTCCAGAAATAACACAGGAGTAGCTCACACAAAGTATTTTCTTCTTTTAGGTACCTACCACCTAAAGTGTGGTGCTACTGATATCAGGAAATGAAGTTAAATTTCGAGTAGGATTTTTACATGGAGGATAATGTATTAAAATGCATACCTCGTGCTGCTTTTCAGCAATATTCACCGCGTTTAATGCGAAGATCACTTCTCTGGCTCCTACATATAGAACATCTTTGTCTTCACTTAACAGCAAGGTTGAATAGTTTGACACTTCTGATTCATGAAAATGTATGAGCTGGACCTCTGTTGAAATGAAAGAAAAATAGCACCACATGAAGAAACACGATCACTTAGGGTCGAGTTTATGGGTCATTTTTCTACATTGGGTAACAGCTGTTGGATATCTTGAAAACAACAAATATTAGTTTGGACAACCCACATTAACAGGTAAGAGACCCCCCTCAGAAGCTTGGT